AAATTATTCAATTATTTGGTATTTTTCAAACGCGGTAAAACATTTATTCGGAAGTTCCTGATACAAGTTGAATAAATTAAATTTTGTCAACCTTTTCAAGGCATAATTCCAAGGCAGTACACACGATTAATCGTTTTCAATTTGAAACTAGTTTTATTAATAGAAATAAACACCATATGACAAATAAATTATTAAAAATTATAGCTTCTATATGTAATTAATATCTAAAACAAATCGCAGAAATTATGTGTTTTCGTAAAACCAATTTTTAAAAATGTTTCTGTCTGTATGTCTGGCTGCATGGCTGCGTTTATTTCGGGTAATCTCAGGAATGACATGACCGATTTTGACATGGCTTTGACAAGAAAGTTGTTGATGCACGCGGTCATGTTACTTATTTTATTCTGCGCTGACGAAGTCGCGGGCGATTGCTAGTACTCAACAGAGATTGTGGGATTCGAATTAAATAATAAAACATTTGATAAACTAGGAGGGCATAACCGATAAATATAGTTCAATTTAGTATGAGGCTATTATTCAATCAATGTGGCGGTCAGCGCTCCGGCCACCAGCCACCACTGGCCGCGACTTGCCACTTGTAAATAACGTTAAAGTAGTCACGTCTAATAATGTGTTATTACAGAACTGATTGCGGACGCCCATATTTCAGCATTACACACATTGACATAGATTGGTTCGGTTAGTCGTACCAATTTGAATCGATTTTCTATTTTATTTTTGCAAGTACGGTCCTGTATAATACGGATTCTACGTTTAAAAAAATAATTTTGGCTGACTACGTATACAATACAATTATAATAGTTATGTATGCAATATGCACACAAGAATATTCAGAAGACTGACGCAAGAACACATCTCTTTCTGATTTTCTTAGTATAAATGCGAATGTTTAGATGGATGGTTATTTGTTTGAAGATATCTTCAGGACTGCTACATGGATCACGCTGAAATTAAGCATATAATTAGATCATAGCCTTGGAGAACACATCATGTGCTGATTTTTTTTAAATTCCGCTCAGACGGAATCGCGGGCCGCAGCTAGTAATAATAAAAAATTTGACGTTGACTATTGAACTTGATATTTGTTTTTAATTACTAAATTGTTTAATAACAAAACGATAACTTATTACTATATCATTATTGAACAATTTAATGTTATAAACAAAGTCTTTCACGGTCGATCAATATCGAAGGTGACTATGTTTTTATAAACAGTGAAAGTCTTCGATAAACGTAAATAAATAACATCATTTTTGATTACATCAATAATAAAAACAATATACATAAGACCAGACCCAGTACTGGATATTAGGGCAGGCCCAGGGCTTTAGCTGTCTAAAGCCATGGGCCTGCCCTAAAAAGGATTAATTCGTAGATCGCCCCTTTCTGTAAAGGGGCGATCTACGAATTACATAGTCTCACTTAACCCTGTTAACTCCCTTCCCTCCAAAGGCATGATAAAAAGGGGGCGTAAAATTCTAGCCCAGGGCGTAGCGCTAAATCCAGGATTGAATATAATAAAACTTTGTTTGCTGCTAATTCTGCATTCTGCATTAAACCTTCAGTAATTCAGTTGACAGCAGCATTCAAATTAGGTTGTTTAAAAATGGACAAGGAAAAATACATTCCTTGGGATCGTATCTTTAAGGATATTTCATTGTGAACAACCTTACAAATAATAAAGGTCTTGTATAAAAATGAACATTCAAAATTTTTATATTCAATCAAATAAAGAAACATATTATGTTATACATTAATTAGTTACTTAATTTTTGCTATAACTAGATATTTGAATTGGTCTATAAAATGTTGGATTGATTTTGCTTATTTATTGTATGTCGTAGCGGGTTATCGATTGAATGAAATTGATAATTCAACCAGGTTCTCACAAGTTACAATGATTTTTAATATAACTGTATTACTGTTTTCTGGACTTTTTAATAATTTAGCATTTTTTACGAGTCTTAAATTGTTTGAGTTCAAAATAAGGAAGATTCTAAAACATTATTATAATGAATAAGAAAGTCTAGCATCAGCTATAGTTATTGTTACGCGTATCTACGCAATTTTTTTTGTCAAACAGTAAATATCTTCTTCGGGTTTTCCTCAAACGTTAACGTAATAATATCAGTTTAAATTGATGATGACGACATTAGCAAAGTTCTAAAAATATTTAGTGACGATCACTTTGCGGGACTTTCTCGAATTGTCCCGAATGAACTTTCAAGGTTTGTTTTTTTTTGGAATTGTGAATTTAAATTCTTTGAATGTTTTTCGTGAAGGGCATTTATCGGGCAATAATTACGGAATTCGTTAGTTTCATAAAACTTCTATTTCTGTATACATACGCCCTCGTTCTGTGACGGAGTATTGTATTTGGCACGGGACAGAGCGCGTGACGGTGACCTGTTCATACACTTTCACACATATATACCGCGTCTACATTTGCGAAGAAATTGCTCGAATGTTATATAGATATTTATGAAAATAGCCGACCATTTATTTTTACATGATATATCATTTGGTTTGCATTGAATTACTTTTTTCTTGATGATATCACGATTTTATTTTTAACTTCTAATATCAATGTTTCCAGAATTTCAATACGTGTAAAGGAACACAATGACATGAAATTTTATGCGTAACTTTTGTGTAGGTGTAACATGCTATCATATACAATGTATGATACAAATCTCGCAATTACTAAATACGTGATGTATCATGTCTCAAGCATCTTGTTGATATAAGTGTCACTCGGCGATCACTTTACTGATAAAGTGATATTTTTAATTAAGCTCAATTTTCGTGTACGTAATCAAACATATAAGAACAATTAGTAATTGCAATAATAAATTAAAAGAGTATTCATGATAAATTTAATCTTACTAATATTATAAATGTGAATGTTTAGATGGTTGGATGGATGTTTGTTTGAAAGTATCTGCGGCACGGCTCAACGGATTGACGAAATTTGGCACACATGTAGTACGTAGTCTGAAAGAATAAATAGGCGAGGCTTTTTGAGTTTTCTTTAATTCTGCGCGGACGAAATCGCGAGCGACGGCTAGTACAAAAATAAAGTCGTCAACAACATTTAATTTATGGCATTGACCTTTGTGATAAGCAAAGTTACTGGGTTTCTACTTTCATGACGGTTGTATTGTGATATTACAAGTATTATTGTTATGTTGTCTTCATTTTTAAAGGAATGTATGTGTGTCAAATACAAGTGCAGTGGAAATGTGCACTAATAGTTTAAGATCCCGTGTTCGCCAAAATTTATCCACCTTTAGGGAGAGGACAGAGTAGTGCGTTGCATCGTCGCAGCGTCAACGCTGCTTCGCTTTACATAGGTTTTATATGTGGCGCTACATTTATGCGTTGCGTCTTCACTTGCGATATTTCAAAGGAACAACGGACGAAAGCAAAGCGAAGGGATGCGTTGCGTCGTCTGAACACGGTGTGACAACAGACTGTGCTACATTGAGACCCTTGTCCTCTTGCGTTGTGAAACCTTGCGTTGCCGTAACGCAAATGGGGCATACAATGGGATGGTTAGCTACAAAGCAACGCGATGTTCCAGCAAGGTCTTGCTCTTATCTGTGTTTACGCTTTTCAACTTCGATATTGTGTCGATGAAAATAGATTGACAACTGTGTACTTATTGTGGAGAGAATATTGATAAGAAAGGACGCGACGCGTCGTATCCTTTAGAAACATCCACGATTTAATGCAATACCTTAATGCACAATATTTTAATATTGCTCTAAATGCATATGTCAGATAGATAAAGAAACTTTATGCTTAAGTTTCATAAAACATGATAACTTTTATTTAGAATCAGTTAATTCAGTTTTTTTTTTGGATAAAACTTTCTCCGGTATTCTAAAAACATCCTACTGTACATATTATAATCTTTCGAGTTCGAGTTTAAAAACACATAGCACAAACACATAAAAATATTGATTCCGAAAAGATAATCAATTTGTTCATTTATTCTATATATTTAATTTTATAAAAAATATTACGTGAAGGTCAAACTAAAGGTCGTACCAATCTTCCTATATTTCGTTCAGAGACACTCCGTTTAAATAGGTCATTGCGTGACCTCCAAGATGACCTTGTAACGAATAATAAAAGTAAAATTCTTCAAGTTTAAATCAATCTTTCATATTATTTACAAAAAACTTTTTTTCCTCTGATGATACGAACACAACGCTTTATATTGGATTAAAAAAAATTATGTTAGATATACATGATGTTCAAAAAATGATTTGTATGTCATTTGTTCCATCATATCACTAGCTAGTCTTTTATAAAATATAACAATTATTATTTCAGTCAATTAATAACAACCTATATCAAAGGACGTTTGTTTCATTCATAAAATTACTACAAAGGGTTGACTCAATTGTTTTCATTTCTGTAATTGCGATATTCTTTTCTATAATTTAATTTTAATGGTTTTTTCATGTACCTTCAAAATATTTATCAAGCATATTTAATTAAAATTTGACGTTGCCTTTTGACACTTGTTTAACTGAGAAGTAAACGTTAGCATGGTCTGTTATTGTTTTTCATTTAAGCATGGTTTTAGATGTTTTACAAACGTGATGGTGAAGCGATACAAATATTGCTTTCAGTTATAATCTAGTTGAAAGTTAAGATTAAACTAATGTTTCTCATATTTTTGAAATGTTATCATTTCTCTCGTGAGTCGCGACTGTGTTGCAGATCGCAGCCGCGCCGGGTAACTCCTATCTTATCTAGGTCGTTCACTTTTGACATTAAACTTTGATGTCACGATACTCATGAATAAACAGTTCAATTGTATTGTTGTTTGTTGGCAAGGTGCCAAGAATATAACTGTCATACTTTGTTTCATAGTAACTGAAGAAGTAGTTCCACTTTCTGAATTACGTTAGGATTTCTTTCAACTCTACCTTAAATGTATTTATAATTTTATAATTATTTTTCAGACGCAGATGAGCGGCGACCGCGCCGGCAGCGGGACGCAGTGTGGTCTGACGTCACTGCTGCCGATGTCGTGCCGCGGGCGCGCTGCCGCATTTGCGCGCGACTTGCACTCCCGCTTGCGCAACCTCGGCGCCGGACACGATGACTGTGACAGCAACTGGATCGCGCGCGACACCGCCGCCACACACAGACCCGCCAACTCCGCACAAAGGGACCTAGACACATTCTACGATTTCGAACTAGAATGCGAGAGTCCTTCCAGTCCTGTCGACGAATACGATGGAGCGTTTCCGGAACGAGCTGCTGCAGCAGACACGGAACAGCCATTCTACGATCTCGAAAACGAAACCGAGACCAAAGAGCAGGCCAGGTTAATGTTGAAGCAGCCGGATAAAAATAAAAATGGTTTCAAATTCTCCACTGCATTCTACACAGACTATTCACCAGTGAAATTACAACCGGTCCCGCGAGAAAACGGTCATACAGACAAACCCCTTTATTCTCCTATAAGTTTTGAAGGTTGTGCGCGACAAAACAGCTACGATGAAATCGATTGTGCAGTTCGGCCTGCGGTTGTTGTAGAATCTGAACGACTCAGCTCCCCACTGAATCATTCGATAATACCGGATAGCGATTCTGAGTTTGAGTCTGCCAAAAGCGATCCGTCGGAGGCCAACGACGAGGTTACATTAACAGAAAAGTCATTGGAAAATGATGTGACGGAGGGTATCGAAAACTTGTCAATTATAGATCTCGATCTCGTCGAAGAGGAAATTCCTGTAGACAATATCGATATTGAAGTAACAGCCGCTACTGATCTTATTGATTCGACTCAAATTATTACCAGTGAAGTTTCTGAAGACAACGAGATATCTCCTACTCCCGAAATTGATCCTAAGTTTTTAAGCACAGAGTGTAAAGAAGATGAAGAGGCAGAAGACGATCGTCCCCAACGCGTTCGTAGGTGCTCATCACTTAAAACTGGCAAAACGCCACCCGGTACGCCGGGACGAAAGAAAATAGTTCGCTTCGCCGACGTATTGGGCCTCGATTTAGCAGACGTCAAGACGTTTATGGATGAAATTCCAGTCATTCCAAAATCCGCCTACGACGATCTAACAGGCTGCGACATGCTGAGTTCCTCGCCGCCTGCCCGGACGCCGCCCAGACTCGGCGCTCTCACATTAGTACCTTTATTCCAGGTACCGCGTGACGTCACAGAGAAGCTAGAAAAGATGCTCGTCTGTCTAGAGAGCGCACGAGTTTGCGACGGCGCTCACGTAACGGTTTGTGGATCGGTGCGCGTAAGAAATTTAGATTTTCATAAAACTGTACATATTCGATACACGATGAATAGATGGAAAACGTACACCGATCTCCAGACGACTTACGTGCAGGGCTCCTGCGACGGATACTCGGACCGCTTTCAGTTTGTGCTATACGCACCGTGCATAACTTCGGGACAGAGGTTAGAGTTGGCCGTTCGATTCCAATGCAAGGGGCAGCAGTTTTGGGACAATAACAGCGGAGCTAACTATTGCTTCGATTGCCTCGCGTTGGGGGCGACTGCGCCGATGCAGACGACGACCGCGGCGCTTCACCCTACTGTGGACTGGCACCCATCTTTTTACTGACGCTCTGAGCGAAGATATGCGGGATGCTAGCCGTACTGTAAGAGCGGTGAAAACGAGTGGACGAGTCCTTTGAGGCAGGAGTGTGTCTTGCGAGTCCGGCTGGTCCGGAACTACAGCGTGAGCTCGAACGACAAACCGTTGTTGCCTCATTTAATTGTGTGCTTTGTGTACAACGATCAATTACTAGGAGAAGCAATATGGCGTCCTAATATTATGAGGCTTGAAATGTAAAGCGTTTTTTGTGATATAATTTAGAGTAGGTGTAGAATTTATTGAATCGAGAGATCATCTCGTTCGGAGTGCCATTCGCATTAACGACCTATCTGATTATAAAATTTTCTTTATGATTTTGTAGTATAACGTAAACGAGAATATAGAAACTATGAAATGTTATAAATACAATATAATAATTATTAAAACGACCGATGGAGTGAGTGAGTTGAATGTGAACTGTGTACATAGTTAGAGAGGTATATTCTGAATGTTATTAATATTTTAATAATTTTTACAAACTATTAGCCTTATTAAATAATTAGATCTATATCGAAATAAATCACTTAGACTGTGTTTGTTAATCATGAATTAGATGGTATGAATTTTTTTTATTATTGTTATTAATAATGTGAATATAATTCAATGCCTTTATAATATAGAAGTTTTTAGATTCTTACAACCGTTAATAACTCTTTATAATTATTTTTTATAAGACTACATACATTTAAGATTATCCTGTCCTACAAAAACTGTAACAATTTGTAATATTTGTGGGAATAATTTTACAGAATTTTTTATATGAATGTTAAAAACAAATATATTTCCTACTTTTATATTTATCAAAATAATATCATGACACAATGTTTCCTAAATAAAAAAAAATTATAATTATTGTTTTGATATTGAAAATTTTTAATTGATTAAAGATTAATATTAAATTATTTGTTACTTTTAAGTCGGCAGCAATATTTATTACTTCGCTTTAATTGTATGTACCTGAATCCTAAAATGTGGCCATATTAATTTTAAAAATATACCGATGCGTCAATGTATTTCTATAGTTTTATTGTGTATCGTATGACATTTGATTTATGAAAACTACCTAATTAAATATTATTCAATTATACAGCGTGATGTTTTATTAAAATTAACCTTTGTTATTTAACCAGTTTTGTACTTAGAAAATTAATATTAAACCATACTAATATTATAAAAAATAATATTTACAGTGGTAGAGCCCGCTTTAACATCTTCGAATTGCCCTGGCTCGCCCGGTGAAATACCACGACCACACAGAAGACAGGCGTCAAGTGGAAGCAATTCCGCGTACAGTCTGATGAATGTGCGTCCCGGAGGCCTAATTTAGTCCTCCTTCCCTTCCCACCCTTTTTCTTATAAGGAAAGGATGGGAAGTGGAAGTGGACTTTCCGGATGAGAGGATGCATGGAAAGAGAAAATATTTTCTTTCTGTGCATCGTCTCACAACGCATGTGCAATTGCATATGTCCATGGGCAGCGGTCACTTCGCTATTTCAGGGATTTCAGGTGGCCGCTCGCTCGTTTGCCATCTTATGATATAAAAAAAATGCGAATGTTTAGATGGATGGATGTTTGTAGGTATCTTCGGAAGACTTAACAAATCTTGATGTTATTCGGCACATATATAGAATATAGTCTGGAAGGGTAATTACAAAACACATAATATTTAATTTTTTCAAATTCCCCTCGGACGAATTAGAGGGCGATCGTCAGTTAGTATTTAAGATTTAATTAAAAAATAAAATTTAAAATCATACGCTTTTAATGTACAAAGCATTATCACTTAAAAATAATGTAAGGCTAAACATATCACAATTATTGGATATCATTAATAAATATGTTGTTACTAAACATAGTGACATATAAATGTATAAAATGATTAACAAGACAATTATCTCTTAGTAATGTCGAAGAGCGCGACCTTAAGATAAAAATTTCTCTTTTAAATTGTAAACAATAAACACATATCTCTTCAGTACTAAATATTTATACAAAATACAACACAAAAGAACATTTAGTTTTAAAAACATTTTCGTATACGGTGAGTATTTTAAATGAATAATAAAAAAAAAATCTAATTCAGTACCAACTTGTTCTTGAAAGTTTAACAAAACAATGACTAAGTTTAACTTTAAAATTAGATTTTAATTAAATTAAACCGCTTAATTCAGTTCAATTTGTACCTAATTTGTTTTAGATATTAATATCTTACAATAATAATTTAATTATAACATAAATTATACATATTATAACACATGATAGTGAAGAGCTTCGACCAACATCTCAAGAAGTTCTCGCTAAACAGTTGGATTAAGGGCCCGATACAAAAGGCAGTTAGAAACCGCGTGCATCGTGAGAAGGTTTCTGTCTCTGCAGCCCTGACCACTGGTTGTTTGAGTCATGGGATTCCGCAGACGGTGGTGTTCTATTTTTAATATAATATGTTTTGTTTATTTCTTTATGGATATGAAATGTACTATATAAAAAATATGATAAATAAATGTATAAGAAACATAAATTATAAGATTTTTTGCAATATGATATTGATTTTTTTCTAATTTAATAAACTAACTTTCAAAAAATGGAGATTTAATTAGTCTATATTTTTAAAAGATTTAATTAATTAATGTCAAATTTTCTAACCTATAAAAATGTCAGCCTCTGTATGTTCACGACTTCATTCTTCAATACAAATATTACTAATCATTCAAGATTTTTTTTAAATCTCACGTTTCCTTTACACACAACTTTTCTGTGAGTTTCCACACTACAAAAACATATTGCTAACACTGTTTTAAAGACAATGAGATGAATGAAAACATACTTTTGTACATGTATTTTTGGTGGAAAATCATTTTGATGTTGTCTTATTGCATTGCAAATTAACAGTCTTATAACTAAACATAGTTTTTTTCCTATTACGAAAAAAAAACGTAATTTCTTGAAGTTTTCCTAAGGTAAGGCTTGATGATGATAGTGGAGAATAAATACACTTATCAAATATTTATGTCTACGGTCTTAAATAATTGTCATGGAAGTCAGTTCTCGTTGGTTTCTTGACTGTGGTGGTGGGAAACGTAAGTGTGATATCAGGGTCTCTTAAAGCTCGTAGTTGTGTGTATAACCTTTGCTTGCAGAATTCATAGAATTCAATCTCCCTGGTGAAGTTCGCTCGTACAATTTGCTTTACCGCCTCCGACACTGGCGGTTTGAATGCGTTTCGGTTGATTCGATTGAACGTGTTCAGTTCTTCTGCAAAATTATATTAAATTTAACGATAAAGCTTTTAGGTTTTCGAATTCATGTATAGCTTAGAGTAAGGTCTATTGCAATAGTAAAATTGAACGCAATGGTTTTCAGAGTGAACGCAACGTAAGTTAGTCAAGAATAGTTACAGCGCCATCTGTTGACGATTTACGACACTAATATCTTGCTTAGTCGATTTTATACCGATGTAAGAAAATCTATGTTATAATGTATCTTACCCCAGTACAAGTTCAAAGCTCCTTTGAAGAAGCGCGGTATGTATCGTTCGAAGGCGAGGAGTGTCGCGTTCATGTCCTCGAGTACTCCCACAACCGCGTACTGCTGCTCCACGACGCGCTTGGCGCGCTGCAGCGCCTCCCGGCTGTTGAACGGCCTGCAATAACAAACATACTTTCACCTGTTTCTTGATAGTATTTACTCTTTAATATAGATGGCGCTTTCATTTATTTGAGAATGTTAATTGCATATTAAAATTTAAACTTATAGCTCTGGTTCTCTTTCTGTGTTCCTTAAACTATTTTATTTCATAAAATATACCTTACCTACAATCATTTATTGCTATTTTGCATATGCAACCAAAAGAAATCAAACTAAAGCAACACTTTTTTTTCAACCGATAGATGGCGCTAAAAATCCTCCTACTTGGGGGGACTGGATGCAAAATTCTACTATTATTATTTTAACTATAACACAACTACTAGAACGTTTAGCTGTGACTAATCTTAAGAGCAATATGTGGTGGACTATGCTTTGTATATTATTTATTTGTTACATTACCAAAATAAATGAAAAAAAGATAATTAATGTTTATCATGGTCATAAACACTAACGTGCACTGTGGTTCGTGTCCGCAGAAGAAGAGCGTCTGCCGGCGATGGTCACCGATGCCCTCGTGCGTCTCTCCCTCCACATAGCGACACTCTCGGTCACCGCTCAGCACACACGTCTCAAAATCCTGGAAATAAGGGTTAAATTAAGTTATTTATAAGCTTGGTAAAAATGAATATTATGACAAATTTTATAGGAAAAATATTAGGTTAATTCTGATGACTACAAATTGCTTGTATTTATTCGCTGAAGAAAAAAAAATATTATATTAAAATTGGCAAAAATCGTTGAGACTTAACGGCCTGCCCCGTTTTAATATCAATGATATTTTACCTGTTAATTATCTCATAAGAACTTATTTGAACTGAATGTTTTTTAATCTTGAATTTTTGTGCCAAAGCCAGAATACCATATCTTTATCTTGTAGCCGATTACAGTACTTTAAATGTTGACACGACCACAAAGACACCGCTTTTGATCCAATGTTATGTACGTACGTGTAAGATCGGATAAATGCTTGAGTGCAATGACAAGAATTTAGAACATTCAGCAAAAACAGACGAGAAAGCAAATAATTTTAAATGTACCCTCACAACAATATGGCGGATGTTGACGATAATTTAAAAATAAAGATGAATTAACAAAGAACAAACAACATAAAAACATACGAATAATACAATCTTACTAATATTATAAATGGAAATGTTTAGATGGATGGATGGATGTTTGTTTATAGGTATTATATCTCCGGAACGGCTCAATGGATCTTGATTAAATTTGGCACACAAGTAGAATCTGGAAGAACACATAAGCTACTAATTATGTTTTATTTAAGTCCGCGCTGCCGGAGTCGCGGGCAAAAGCTAGAAAAAATAAAAGCAACATTCGAAATTAGAACATTTTTATTGTTTATTATTATATAGAAATAAGTGGCCTGTATTATTAGTTTTTTTCTATATTGAAGGCATGAGTAACATGTTTTGATGCTTCATTGCATACTCAATGTCTATATAGAGTGTGATTAGCAAAAAATGAGAGAAAGAGTTTTGCAATTGCAAACTCTATTAATATTTATAATTAGTCTGTGCTAGCTGTCAGGCGAGCATGGCTCGGGGCGGTTGAAGCGATGTCTTAGTCCCAGCTTTTTGTCTTTATAATAAGAATAAAAAGTAATACTTTGTACAAAAAAGTGAAGTACAAACTACAAAAGTAAAAACTTATTTAGAAATTATAACTAGTATTAAATCTAAAATAATAAAATATTCGTTATCGCTAATCATCTTTTGCCGTGCGACCATACAAAGCTAAAGCCATAAACAACTCGTATAGAAATATTTTACGCTTGATCAAAGATTAGAGATTTAAATCAGATACGTTTGTGGTCAAATCATAGATTAATAAACCAGAGAGTTTTAATGCGTCACATTTATTACATTGAGAGATTTATTAATGTTATATCTTTATAATATATTAAACAATAAACAAAGAAAATTCTTTACTTCACATCAAGTCAAATAAAAGTAATGAAGGTTACAAAATTAATATTTAATTAAGTTAAGAATTTAATTATTCATTTTTGAAACTTATTCAAAAAAATAAAAAGACTGTTTTTAAATAATCGTAAAATAGATTATCCAATTACCAAATTCTAATTTTATGATTTTGTGTTGATATAAATATCTACGTAAATTAATACTTTGATGTTTTTATTGTATAAATTATATTCATGTAATTTAATATCGAAAAACGTTGACTGAATAATTTTTTTCCAAACAAATTAAAATGATACTTTGAACATTCACAATCTCTATATATTATCACATCGCATGTAATAAAAATAAACTTACATTTCTTATAAAGTTGTTTATAAGTAGTTATATTACCTTTTTCTTACCCTTATCTTTGTGAGTAGCGTCGGTAGCTCAGTGGTCAAGCACTTGACTTGCAATCTGCAGGACCTAGGTTCGAATCCCGCCATGTACCAATGTGTTTATCGATTTCCGATTAACATATGTACATTTAAGCGACGTTCTTATGGTGAAGGAAAACATCGTGATGCAACCTGCACATATCAAAGAAGAAATTCAAAGATATGTGTGATGTCAAGTAACCCGCACTTGGCCAGCGTGGTTGACTATGCCTTAGTCACCCCTAACTTAGGGTAGGCTCCGAGCCCCTCGGTGGGGACAAATAGTGAGCTGATGATGATGATGATGATGATTACCTTTTTCAGCCATGCTGGGTCCGGTAACGGCAGATCTGGGAAGGCTCGCTTCCTCTCTACGTAGTACCAGGGCGCCCGAACATAGTAGTACCAGGAGATGACGCGCTCCACTGGATCCCGGACCACATTCACGTAGATAGGAGACGGGTACCCGAACCTTGAAAGTGAATATAAAACTTTTAGTGCGAATAAACGATGTACTCTAAACTAGTGGGGGAGAAAAAGGGCAATGAAAAACTCGACTTAGTAAAATGTCCTCGGTGGCAATTTTCGTTTGAACAAGATACCGCGATCTTCAAAGAAACTTTCTAGAACATTCTTTTTGATTATAGATTTTTGCATACTCAGCCAGCTATATAAGGCTTCTAATATTGTTTATTGCTCCTTTACCAGCTGGCGATAGTGATAATCTGTTTTCATTCATGATTTAATTTCACAATTTCCTCATTTCACAAATAATGAACAATAGACTAATTTAACGGCTAACAAAAGGCGTTTCCTCAATTTACGTAAAGCTATAACGAACACCATTTTGTCTATATTTAGTAATAAAACATTATTATCTTCCGACACAAACAGTCGTAATGATTAATTGTCGTGTCGGCTAACGCATTGGAAATTGAGTAGTGTGATAATGTTCTTAATAAGTTCTCTTTAAGATTAGATAATACGCCCTCGAATGCTTGCCCGTTAGACCGTATAAGCTATTTTGTTTGTATTGACGTAGGAATGATTCCATCCATCATAAACTCGATGCCGATTGCCAGGAATTGATGGCTGACAAATTTATAATGATTAATAATCATCACAGAGGCGTAAGTCGGTGTCATTTGTAACGATGATTAGTAGAACAAAAAAGAAAACAAGAACTACACAGATACATAATAATATTTGTATGTGTAACAAATAGTTAAAAAGCTTGAGCAACATTTTTTACGTCTTATTGTCTAAAAACAGATTGTTAAATAGTCAATTAGGCCGTCATTCTAGTAAAATTAAATATGAAATTTCTACACTAAAGGACTAAAGTAAACACTTAATGAGTATTATACGTATAATTAAGAATATAACAAATGTTACCTGGTGAAATTTGTATAACACACGTGTTTGATGTAGGACGCGGGCGGTGTGTGCGCGGACACCACGCTCACCAACACCTGTTGGTCCGCGGGCGCCAACCGTATAGTCTCCACACGCTGCACAGCGTCACGGTGGAACCCTGAACATATTGCATTACAATATAAACACAAAGAATATGTACATAAAACTACGTACTAATACGTTAGGAAAGAGTTACTAACAAAAATGAATACTTTCTCTTAAGGAGTTGAGTGAGGTTCAAAACAATGGGCAGTGCGAACCTGCGCCAGCGATCAGAATGACCTATAGGTCAGTGTTATTTTATGATTATAATTTAAATCCCACGGTTTTAAAAATAGCAGATGCATGCCATACGGTCTCTCTAACTACAGGTATTGTTAGACTGAAGCAGATCACAAGTAAAGCTTTTTCAAGGTTTCTTGTTATAAGTTCAGTTTCATACTCACCAAATTGATTTCTTATAGCCAATCTTCGAAGTAACTCCATGAAGGTCTGGCTGCCGACTTTCGGAACTCGGTTGAAGAATAGCAACTCCATCTCAGAGCGCGCTGTGTTGTTTAGCTCCCAGGGATCAGGGAGCGATAGCTCATCTAGCAGTTCTTGTTCAATGTCCTCTTGTGATCTACCTTCTTCGGCCTCTAATGTCCTCTGCGGTTTGCTGCGCTCCTAGTACATAAAATATTAATTAATGAAATATAATAATTTAAAACAAAAACTAACTAATATAAATTACATATAACTGGACAATATAAATCTATAAATCTCTACTTCTTACTAGTATTATAAATGCGAATGTTTAGACGGATGGATGGATGTTTGTTTGATGACATCTCCAGAACGGCTCAACGGATCACGTTGAAATTTGGAATACATATAGAACATAGTCTGGAAGAACACAGAGGATACTAATTATGTTTTTAATTCCTCGCAGACGGAGTTGCGGGCGACCGCTAGTTTCATATAAAACCACAATCGTTAATTTTAAACGTCCATACATACACGTTGACAACATATACTTTTACTTAACGCCTTATTTCAGTAGTTATACTAGTCACGATATTTTTAATTAGATTCTAGTTATCTAAATTCAAGTGCGAACTATACGTATGAATATTGCATTAACTTAACTGTTAAACCAGCACTTAGTAAGCATACAAAATGGGTAAGTGTTAAGAATAGAAATGTGTTACCGCTCCAGTATTCCTTCTGATAGCTTCGAGGGCTTCTTTGAACTCTTGAGAAGACTCGTACACACGTTCCGTTCTATCCGTTTGGACTCCTAAACAAATAACATCGCAAATAAATACCTATTAATAGAAAACAAACTTAAAATGTGTTAAAATGGCCACTTTTAGTATAAAAATCTATTAGAAAAATTGATTATTTAAAATTTATTATGAACTTTGCTACAAATTTTCCTACTACCGTATAAATTATGAAGAAAATACAAAAATTGCCAGTCTTAAAAATAATTGTAAAATAATTACCATAGTAAAAAATCTTTGTACTTATTTAAATCTATTGACTAACAGCTGTTTTTTGCTCTGTTCTAGCTATTTGAACTACTGAACATAGACATCTAAAATAAAAAACCCATAATGTGCAGTCTTATGTGGTTTTACCGTATTATACGATACGGTAAAATAATTATCTCTCATGGACCATATCTTTCCAAATTACACACTTAATTACGTATCGTGAACCAATAATTTGCATTGATGCGGCTGAATCACATCAGAGTAGTGTAGTATGAAAATGTTTTCTTGCTAATAATAGATTTAAAAGCTTCAATTGAAATGGTCATTGACTTTAAAACATATCAAGTATAATGATGATGGAATTCACTTTAAGATTATACACGTAATAATCATTTTATACGCTAAAATAATTTGTTATTCACAATTTTTTATGAAAGCATTTTTTTAAATATGACTTTAACGGACAAGTTTTTGAATCTTACTAATATGAATGCGAATGTTTAGATGGATGGATAGATGTATTGTTCAAAGGTATCTCCAGAACGGTTGTACGATTCTCGATTAAATCTGGTATACATATAGAACATAGTCTGGAAGAACAAATAGGCTACTTATTGTGTTGTTTTAAATTCCGCGCGGACGGACTTGCGGGAGACGGCTAGTAAGATTCTTATTAAGAATGTTAGTTATTTAAAAGCTACCGAAATGTTTCTTAGGCTTAGTGAAGTTAACTGCTCTTCACACTAGAACTAATCGGTCAATTTAAAGCACAGATATCCGAATTCCTCGCTTGTGTAATTTTCTTTTGCTATTTTACATTTGTCGCAGTTTTAAAAACCGTTATAACCTGAGTGCTGTGCTTCCGAAATCAATTTGTATTATGGTCAGCGATTCAAACCTCGCATTAGAATAATGTTTGGATTTGCGAACTCTTAAACATCGAAAAAAATTGTTTTTTTGCGTTACATCGATGTTAATTAAAAAGAAACTGCTCTCAAAAAATTACCTTCACAAATTGGTTTAAAATAAAATATTATATTTTTTCAACATCTAGGTGACTTTTTATATCAAGGAGTCGTCAAAAATTCAATATTGTTTCTTATTTCGATTACTAATTAAAATCCTCGTTACAGGAAACATTAAAGAATTAATTGTGTTACGAACAATTCAATAAATAAAGATTTATTTGCCGGATAAAGTACATTAAAGTATTTAAAATAATTCCAAGAATATATTTTAATTTGAGTTCTTTTTATCTTTTTATCTTTATAAGTTTAATTTGAGTTCTTTTTATCTTTATAAGTTTAATTTGAGTTCTTTTTATCATAATAAATACGAGATACATATCTACTAATTGGTATTTGTAGGCGTAGAATATATGTCTCACAAATAATCTAACTGTTCTGTTCTGTTTCTTGTTTATGGCTCTCCCTCATCGGATTGGGCCAATGTCAAGTGTTTATGGTTCTGTTAAAACTTGTTAGAGACTGGCAACAATACTCTGCTTGTAGAGAAGTCTTGTGAATAAACAAGTGAACCAAAGAATAAAACTTTTGAATAACCTGAAAAAATAATCTAAATAAAATTATAAATGTAAATGTTTCAACGTATGAATGTTTGAACGTATCTTTAGAATATATTTGACATAGATGTAAAACATTGTCTGGAAGAACAGTTTTTTTTAATTACGCGCGAAGGTAGTCGCGGGCGACAACTAGTATTTTATAATATTGAAGAGCCTTTCTCAAATATACTACGAAAAAATGTACTGCCTATCATGTTACAATTTACACAAGTACCTACTCAATAACTGTACATCAAATCGCCAATACATTTCTTCGTCGCATAGCATAAATCACGTCGCTCGGTATCTCACGACGCGACCTCTGCCGGATGGAAATTGTCTTTCACGAATCGATAATACACCAATGATCAACTTGACTCGCTTACAGTAACTTATTGGTTTCGAGCACACGAATCCTGTTCTATATCCTTTGGATCGGTGATCCCGGCAATATAAATAATGATCAGAACGCAACGATTATTAATAATAAAGCCTACATAGCCTTCCTATTAAACTTCAGGTATAAATGTTTCCTTGTTGATCTTAGGTCGTCAAGTTATTTGAAAAGAATTATACTTATCTTCTATATGTGGTTATACTGACTAGGTAAATTATGGTAGGACTGTATCTGGAGTTCAGACGTTAAAGGCGTATACAGTATAAATAGATTTGTTCATGTACACGAAGTATTGTATTTAAAAATAACAGTAATGCTGGCCGTTACTTAAGCTAAATTTCAACTCTTATATATTTATTTTAAAGAAAAAATTGCAGCAACTGGCACACAAAAAGATGGAATAAAAGAAAATAATAAAAGAACGTACAAGAATGCTGAAAATCAAATTACACTAGGTGTATCGATCGACGATATTTTTGGACACGCTTTTTAGGTTCTCCATTGTGTTGCTAATAAAACGATTTAACGCGACTGTTCGGACGATAACGAAAAAAATATCGCATCAATAAGATTAAGATAGATTAAAGATAACTCTCTGGATAGAACAGCACGACTATTATCGTAGTAATTGCTTTCTGATTATTGGGACAACGAATGAAAAGACCGTAATAAGTAATAGAGTTCACAAAAAAAACCATATTCGTATTAGTGTATACTAATAAGTCGTTTGAAATTGGAACGACAAAAAACTACGTCTGCATTTTGAAGATAATGGCGTCTAAGAAAACAAATAAGACGGTCGCTTTGATGCATCAGTTATAATGATATTGAATTTGAAAAAGTCTAGCTGTAATGATTTGGTTAGCGGCTCGCATCCGGCAGAATAGACCGGTGAAATGGCTCATAGGCTCAACCGTCAATTATTATCTCAATGAAGATGTTACTGTTCCACACTGTGGTCTATTGACACACTTTTCAACACGTGGCTCTCTTACAAATAACTTTTTGACCTTTTTATTATCATACATTAGACTTGATAATTACTTACCGTGAATTTCTGAGATTTAAATCCCCGTTTTAAACATATTGTTATCTCATTTTTGTCAAAGATAATGACAGGGATGACTATATGATTTATACACAGATTTTGGTCTCAAAAACCCATAGTTAGACGATGTACGATTCAATGTTTCTTTTGTTTTCGCCAGTTGCAAACTTTGTATTTATGTTTTAAAATACAAACTCTATTCAAAATTGATTATCATATCGCTTTTGGGCGATTTTAGCAGTCGAAAGTAGATCTGAATAGTATATATTTCTATAAATATTTCAACGCTTCATCTTATGTACAAATATTAGGTAATACTTATGTAAAAAGTCAATACCATTATGTAACTAAACGTAAATTAATATGAACTGTGTAATTAAGGAAATTTTATAAATCGCGTGACCGTCTATATTGCAGGCCATTTGATGTCTAATATTCATAACTTGAAAGTGCCTGTAACAAATCTGTTTTGTTTCTGACCGTGAATATGAAACATTTAAAATGTTTACAGTTATTAACCCTTTAACTGGTGATGGCAATATTTGTGCCACCAACATTTTAATGATTTTTTCCACTTTGTAGCATCAATACCTTAAATTATTTCACCAACTGCAGGAGGAAAATCCATGAACAGAATTTAACAGAGCTTATGTGTTGGCAAGCATATTGCCACCATGTTTTTTTTTCTTCCACTAAATATGATTGTTTTTTTTTCTTTAATAAAAGTTATTAAAGTATCCACAATAAACCAAAAAAACTAGTTTTTATTTTTCCGAGACACAAAATTCTTCCAGTTAAAGGGTTAAATTAATAAAAATAGTTCAGTTCTATTCCATTTAGAAATTTCCATTACATAAACATGGATATAATTCAATTAATTTGTACACCTTTAAAAACTTAATAATCTATTCAATTTGTCTTCAGATAAATGTAACTTGTCTTATAGATTACAAAGTAATAAAGACGAATTGAAATCGTAGTCAGTGAATTAAATTTATTACAATCACAATCACTTACACATTAAACACATTTTACAACAAAGTTCCATTAGTCAAATGGCCGTAAAAGAGTTACTTGTTTACCTACAGAGTTAACTTTTTTTACATGACCTGGAAGTTGCTTGGAACGAGTTATAAAGAACTAGCTGTCAACCGCGACTCCGTCTGCGCGGAATTAAACAAAAACTTTTGGTCGCAGCTTAATGTCATATAGCCTAAGGCCTTCCCCTATAAATGGACTATCCAACAAAAATAGAATTTATCAAATCGGACTAATAGTTCCTGAGATTAGCGCGTTTAAACAAACTCTTCCGCTTGTTTTTAAGATCGATTTGCGTTGTTCGACTTTAAAATTTAAAAAGCTTTAGGTCAACACGAAATCGTTCTAATGCCTTTTGACCTCAAGTTATTTCAAACTGTAGAAAAAGTAAGACGATTTTTATTCAATAAGTTTTCACGGCTGCAAAATTTAAATAAATCAAATCAAGAAATATCTTATTTTGTACCGTCTCTACAGTTTACTTGCATTAGCATCTTTATGTGCGAAAGTGTTGCATTACAAAATTACGTATAAGTATTAAACTTTCTATCATCTAAATCTGATATATAATCAGATTTAATGATGTATAATCTAGATTTACTGGCGTTTTAAGAAATCTGATTTTTTTTTGTCAAGTGGAATGTGAAAGTTTTAAAATTTACATTGTATTTTTCAGCCATTATTATAATATAATGCTTATTTATGTTACTTCTCTTTTATTTAACACAAGACGTAAAATTGTATTTTTTTTCTT